GGGGGAAGTTAAGCAGGGACCCTCCCCCACCTCTGCTTGGGTTCAGGTTCTTTTCCAATTCAATATGTTTAGACACTCTGGTTTTCTTAGTCTTTATGAAGGTATTTACTAGTATCTTGTATGTCTCACTACCTGAAAGAACAAGTATGCGTGGACCAAACAAACCCCCTTGAAGAGCTGGAAAAATTCCACTTTGGACAATTTTATTTTTTGCTCAATTCTCTGATCTCTTTGCTGACTCCTGGTATTTCAGCTTAATATTAAACCATCAATTTGCTTCAGGAGATTAAGTCACAATCAATAGAAACCCTGAAGGAACAGGCAGTAGGACTTACTTTATTTAAACACTTAGTCTTCCAGACCTTGGTGAAATGGATGTAGGGAATTGCTGTAATAAAGCAGAGCCCAGGAGAAGAGACATTCACTGCATGGCAGCTGCAAGGATGCTGGGCACTGGGCAGCTGGGCAGTAGACCGGGAGGCTAAAGCAAACAGCAGTTAGCATAAAAATGCAAAAAGAAACATTGGAAGGCCAATGGACTTTGATATTCAGCAGGGCTGAAAATCAGCATAAAATTGCCTTGTTGTGGGCTCAATGGCTCAAGGCAATTTCCTAACCTGATAATCCTTACATTGTTTACCAAACTTTACCTTTGATTTGCTTGTATGCATTGCTAAAGGGCAAATGTGTATTCAAGTAAATAAAAAGGGGACCAGGCCAAAGGTGGGTGTGTCTCTTCAAGAAAGAGGCTCCACCCGGCCCCCAATGCCTTCTAAATTCATATGTCTTATATAGTATCTTCATTTGTGCTTTGGTGCCTCCTTCAGATCCTGAACCTAGCCGTGAAGGTTGTGGCACAGACTCAGAAGAAAATGTGGCCAAGGGAAGAGTTACCATTTATCACTATTCCCTGGGGAAAAGTCACCATGACCTCAAGTAGGTAAAGAAGAGTGAGGAGCATTTGTGGGAAGAAAAGCCACAGGAGAGTAATTTTATCCTTGATTGTCACTTAAGCAATGGGCAGCATTGCAAAATGTATCTTTTTATCAGGGGATAAGGTCCCTTCCCACTCAGCAAGAAAACAGATATTTGGTAATGGGACTTGTATTACTTGGAGTCCCGATGTGAATGACCCAGGCCAGTAGAGCACCTCTATTCTTTGAGCTGTGCAGAAGGAAAGGACCTTGAAAATCATTGCTTCACTATACCCCACATTATCAAATCTGGGTTGCCCCCAATCTGTCCTGGGCCTGGAAATGGCAAACATTGCTTCCCTCCCTTGGGGAGAAATCAACAACAGGACAACACTTGGGATGTAGTTCATACTTGGGTGGCCCTGTCTCACCACAGTCTGCTGCCTTAGATTTAGAATAAGAGGAGAAGAGTTCTTGGAGGGCAACCATGACTAACAGAATTCAACGTTGAGGTACAAGAAGGGATCCTTCAGCAAAGTGCTAATGCTGTGATATGTTAGGGGGTGGAGTTGGGAGAGGCTGCTCAGTGTCTAGCAGACCAGGTATTCCAGGACACCCTGAAGAGAGAGTCTCCTCACTGCCTTAAATATTCCAGGCCAATTGTCCTCCATCCTCCCCTAAAACTCCACATTTCTTGACGGCTCCTTTCTTCTGGCTAAGTCATCCTACCCTTCCTCAGTGCTCTCATCTACAGACATCCTGGCTGCACTTCCTCTTCCCTCAAGGGATTTCATAATTTGTTCATGGCCCTCCTCTCCACCTCATGTCCTGTGTCATTCAGGTTGGCATCAAAGCCCCTGTGGACATCTGTTTGACACTCTGGGCTTGGAGTTCTTGACCTCCTCATTGACAGAGCTTTTCATCTCTTCACTCTGGCTGCCCACTGGTTCTCTCCCCAACCTCACTGCAAGTTCCTTAGGTGGAGGATGCTGGTATCGTTAATAACTTTAGAGATTGTAATTATATTAAATGAAAGGTTGTCATGCTTGATCATGACTGAGAATGTTAGATCTCTGTGTGGGTCTTTTATAAGAAAACATCTAATGATCACGGAGAGGCAGAAGAAGGGACTGATTTGAAATGTGATAAGAAGTAATCACTGACAATTTCATGGTGGCCAGTCCTCTGGGTTCTTTTCTGTGACCTGGGATCTAAAATTGGTAATCAAGTCAAATATAAGCAAACAAACACTACCATCCTCCTCCCGCAAATACAGATCAAGGACCATTTTCTTTCTATTTAAGCTTAATCAGACAAAAACCACTATGGACAAGCCTGAAATCTGACAGAATCAGACTTATTGACCTGATGCCATGAGGGAGGCACTCCAGAAGAGCCATGAAGTGCTTCTCAGTAAAAGGGGAGACTTGTAAGGTCAAGCTCCTGCTGAAGGATCCAGGAAAGTCCAAAGGCAGAATTATGAAAAGTGGGGACTAACTAGGGTTTGGGTGGCATAATGAGCAAGGGTGGCTCAGCATTTGGGAATCCCTAGTAAAAGATGGGTGAGATAAAGCAGGACTGGGGGCATCACTGGTAAGAAAGCACTGGTCATTCAAAGTGGGCATTGTTATGGCATTTCACAGTTGCAGCCAGACCTTGGGAGAAAGGCTGTTCTCTGTGAATTTCACATTTGGCTTTATCTGAATCTGTCCTCCCAGCCTGGGTAACAGCAGGGCTGCTTTTGTTCTTTTTCAATCCAAGCTTATTTTCACTCTTTCAGTCCCAAACAAGTTTTAGCTCTTTCTATTAACTGGATTTAGCCAAGTTTAAATATTCCCTCTTAAACATACTAAATCTAATGTCCACATTTCCCTCTACAGAAGTGACCATCAACCACACGCAGGAGCAAAATCCTGCAAAGACTAAGGTGGCATGTACAGGACAACTGTAGGGTGGTTCATTAAACAATTAGAACCAAATAAAATACAAACTAAAGTCAGAGGTGACTTATTCCCAGCAGAAGTGGGGTGAGCATCTGCTTGCTGTGGCATGATCAGCTTCATGTGACTGGTATTGAGGAACTGTTTTCTCTACTAAGGCCCTAAAGCATTCACTAAGAGGAAGCACTTACCAGCTCCTCTTCTCTCATTTCTTAAAAAAAAAAGCGGGGGGGAACCATTGAGAGTTTGGACACATTAAGAGCCCAGCTGTTATAGCTGATGAGAAACAACTCATATTCCAGTGGTTCTCAAACTTTAATGTGCTCCAGAAACACCTGTAGGGCTTGCTGAAACCCAGGTTACAGTTCTCTATCCCTAGAGATTCTGATTCAATAAGTCTGGAGTAGGCGCCCAAGAATTCAGTGTCAGCAAGTTCTCAGGTGATACTGATGATGCTGATGCAAGGACCATATTTTGAGACCCACTTCTCTAACTCAGCTCTTCCTCATTGCCTCCACCTTCCATACTTTTACACTTTCTGTTTCTCCTGCTTGAAATGCCTTCCCCGCTCTCCATGTAACTGGCTGTTTGTCTTAAGTTATACAACCTTGCTTGGCTATTGTATTAGTTTATCTATTGCTATGTAACAAATTACCCCAGGTAGGACCTCCAGAATGGTAGCATGAGGTGTTCAGGGAAACCATTAAACTGGTGGAGATTAATAAAGACTACCACGCAAAATCTTTAGAGATTGATCAAAAGGTTTACAACAGGTTGAGAAACATCAATTCAACAAAATCTATGGAAACTTAGTTGGAACAGTGGAAATCCATGGTATTGAAGCTAGGGACTGCATCCATCTCCCCACGGCTCTGCCTTGTTGAAGAACTAACTGTCCCAGTGAGCTCAGCAACCATTGAAGAGTAAAACCTCCCTTTCCACCATAGCTCTGTAGAGATGCCCTCATGGGCCCAACAGATGAATGACAGCTCCCATCTTCCCCAGCTTCCTAGGGACGAAGATGGCAACCAGTGAATTTCAGATCTCATCCTCTTTGGATCTGTGCCACAGAAGATCCATACTGGGGACATACTTAGGAGTGGCCACACCCTGGTATGGGACCACTTTCCACACCACTCCCATCCCTACCTTGCCTCACCGCCAACACACACACAGCTCCCAACAGATGAATGACAGCTCCCATCTTCCCCAGCTTCTACTTAGGAGTGGCTGCACCCTGGTATGGGACCACTTTCCGCACCCTGGTATGGGATCACTTACCTTGCCTCACCGCCAACACAAACACAGCTTCTGGTCAATAAGGAGAATCCAGGTGGGGCAGTCAGTCAAGAGTGAGTTCCTCACCGCTCCCTCCACTGGTCAATAAGGAGAATCCAGGTGGGGCAGTCAGTCAGTGAGTTCCTCACCGCTCCCTCCAGCTCCGGCATCAGAGCCTCCATGGCTTAGGTTCTCCCCAGGGGGAGGAGGGCAGAGAAAATCTCAAAGACCAGCCCAAGTGTCCAAGGAGGGATATTGATTCTTTAACTCAAATTCATAGGACTTTCATAGGCAGAAGCCTGGAGCCTACCTAGCACCTGCACTTCACAATCAGACTCTGCTGATCTTTACTCAGTGCCTCCAGTGTGCCCATAAAAGGCTAAACGTTTGTGCAACTATGGATCGCCTTTCTGGTTTTGTCTGTCGTGATTACTGCTGAATTCGTAGAGCCTAAAATAGTACCTGGTACCAAGCAGGCTCTCAATAAATGTCTTATAAATGAATTGCCTTATCCGACGCTGAAATGATAGTTTTAACTCCAGGTGACCCTGTATCATGTTTTATTGTAACGCTGCATTACTGAAACATTTCTATTTCTGACTTCTAGGCTTAGATTAGACTTCTTTTGCACATCTAGGCCTAGAGCTGGAGTCTGCTCCACCCAGCCCACCGCTCCAAGGACGAAGACCAGCCCTAATAAGGTAGCGCTCAGGGCTGGCCCCGGGTCACGTGACTTGCGGCACAGCCAGAAGGTAGACGTCTCCCGGCTCGCGTGTGCGCACAGCTTCTGCGCCGGTTTCTTGAGGAGCGCGCGCAGACTCAGAGGCTCGCTTCCTCCCGGGCTCCGCCCAGCTCGCTCCCGGTGGGCGGGGCGACAGCTGAGCTGGGAGAAGAGGCCGGGCGGCAGCTGCGCGCATGCGCAGAAGAGACCTGCGCGATCGGGCGTGGTGCTCGGCCTGGCTTAAGATATTTGAGACAAGATGCAGGTGAGCAAGCCTTGGGGCGCGAGGCCTGGGGGCTGCGGTTGCTCGTGTACCCCGCTAGGTCCGCGCC